AGAGGACACATTGGAGCACAGAATGACCCAGGAAAGAGTCTTCAAAACACAGGTAAAACTGTGTTAAACAGTGGGGTAACATGTTTGAAATGACAGCACACTGCTGCTTGTTGGCAGCCTGACTCACTTGACTTGTCTCACACACACCCAGGGGGGGAGAAAGAGGACACATTGACCCAGGAAAGAGTCTTCAAAACACAGGTAAAACTGTGTTAAACAGTGGGGTAACATGTTTGAAATGACAGCACACTGCTGCTTGTTGGCAGCCTGACTCACTTGACTTGTCTCACACACACCCAGGGGGGGAGAAAGAGGACACATTGACCCAGGAAAGAGTCTTCAAAACACAGGTAAAACTGTGTTAAACAGTGGGGTAACATGTTTGAAATGACAGCACACTGCTGCTTGTTGGCAGGCTGACTCACTTGACTTGTCTCACACACACCCAGGGGGGGAGAAAGAGGACACATTGACCCAGGAAAGAGTCTTCAAAACACAGGTAAAACTGTGTTAAACAGTGGGGGTAACATGTTTGAAATGACAGCACACTGCTGCTTGTTGGCAGCCTGACTCACTTCACTTGTCTCACACACACCCAGGGGGGGAGAAAGAGGACACATTGACCCAGGAAAGAGTCTTCAAAACACAGGTAAAACTGTGTTAAACAGTGGGGTAACATGTTTGAAATGACAGCACACTGCTGCTTGTTGGCAGCCTGACTCACTTCACTTGTCTCACACACACCCAGGGGGGGAGAAAGAGGACACATTGGAGCACAGAATGACCCAGGAAAGAGTCTTCAAAACACAGGTAAAACTGTGTTAAACAGTGGGGTAACATGTTTGAAATGACAGCACACTGCTGCTTGTTGGCAGGCTGACTCACTTGACTTGTCTCACACACACCCAGGGGGGGAGAAAGAGGACACATTGACCCAGGAAAGAGTCTTCAAAACACAGGTAAAACTGTGTTAAACAGTGGGGTAACATGTTTGAAATGACAGCACACTGCTGCTTGTTGGCAGCCTGACTCACTTGACTTGTCTCACACACACCCAGGGGGGGAGAAAGAGGACACATTGACCCAGGAAAGAGTCTTCAAAACACAGGTAAAACTGTGTTAAACAGTGGGGTAACATGTTTGAAATGACAGCACACTGCTGCTTGTTGGCAGCCTGACTCACTTGACTTGTCTCACACACACCCAGGGGGGGAGAAAGAGGACACATTGACCCAGGAAAGAGTCTTCAAAACACAGGTAAAACTGTGTTAAACAGTGGGGTAACATGTTTGAAATGACAGCACACTGCTGCTTGTTGGCAGCCTGACTCACTTGACTTGTCTCACACACACCCAGGGGGGGAGAAAGAGGACACATTGACCCAGGAAAGAGTCTTCAAAACACAGGTAAAACTGTGTTAAACAGTGGGGTAACATGTTTGAAATGACAGCACACTGCTGCTTGTTGGCAGCCTGACTCACTTGACTTGTCTCACACACACCCAGGGGGGGAGAAAGAGGACACATTGACCCAGGAAAGAGTCTTCAAAACACAGGTAAAACTGTGTGAAACAGTGGGGTAACATGTTTGAAATGACAGCACACTGCTGCTTGTTGGCAGCCTGACTCACTTGACTTGTCTCACACACACCCAGGGGGGGAGAAAGAGGACACATTGACCCAGGAAAGAGTCTTCAAAACACAGGTAAAACTGTGTTAAACAGTGGGGTAACATGTTTGAAATGACAGCACACTGCTGCTTGTTGGCAGCCTGACTCACTTGACTTGTCTCACACACACCCAGGGGGGGAGAAAGAGGACACATTGACCCAGGAAAGAGTCTTCAAAACACAGGTAAAACTGTGTTAAACAGTGGGGTAACATGTTTGAAATGACAGCACACTGCTGCTTGTTGGCAGCCTGACTCACTTGACTTGTCTCACACACACCCAGGGGGGGAGAAAGAGGACACATTGACCCAGGAAAGAGTCTTCAAAACACAGGTAAAACTGTGTTAAACAGTGGGGTAACATGTTTGAAATGACAGCACACTGCTGCTTGTTGGCAGCCTGACTCACTTGACTTGTCTCACACACACCCAGGGGGGGAGAAAGAGGACACATTGACCCAGGAAAGAGTCTTCAAAACACAGGTAAAACTGTGTTAAACAGTGGGGTAACATGTTTGAAATGACAGCACACTGCTGCTTGTTGGCAGCCTGACTCACTTGACTTGTCTCACACACACCCAGGGGGGGAGAAAGAGGACACATTGGAGCACAGAATGACCCAGGAAAGAGTCTTCAAAACACAGGTAAAACTGTGTTAAACAGTGGGGTAACATGTTTGAAATGACAGCACACTGCTGCTTGTTGGCAGCCTGACTCACTTGACTTGTCTCACACACACCCAGGGGGGGAGAAAGAGGACACATTGAACCCAGGAAAGAGTCTTCAAAACACAGGTAAAACTGTGTTAAACAGTGGGGTAACATGTTTGAAATGACAGCACACTGCTGCTTGTTGGCAGCCTGACTCACTTCACTTGTCTCACACACACCCAGGGGGGGAGAAAGAGGACACATTGACCCAGGAAAGAGTCTTCAAAACACAGGTAAAACTGTGTTAAACAGTGGGGGTAACATGTTTGAAATGACAGCACACTGCTGCTTGTTGGCAGCCTGACTCACTTGACTTGTCTCACACACACCCAGGGGGGGAGAAAGAGGACACATTGACCCAGGAAAGAGTCTTCAAAACACAGGTAAAACTGTGTTAAACAGTGGGGTAACATGTTTGAAATGACAGCACACTGCTGCTTGTTGGCAGCCTGACTCACTTGACTTGTCTCACACACACCCAGGGGGGGAGAAAGAGGACACATTGACCCAGGAAAGAGTCTTCAAAACACAGGTAAAACTGTGTTAAACAGTGGGGTAACATGTTTGAAATGACAGCACACTGCTGCTTGTTGGCAGCCTGACTCACTTGACTTGTCTCACACACACCCAGGGGGGGAGAAAGAGGACACATTGACCCAGGAAAGAGTCTTCAAAACACAGGTAAAACTGTGTTAAACAGTGGGGTAACATGTTTGAAATGACAGCACACTGCTGCTTGTTGGCAGCCTGACTCACTTGACTTGTCTCACACACACCCAGGGGGGGAGAAAGAGGACACATTGACCCAGGAAAGAGTCTTCAAAACACAGGTAAAACTGTGTTAAACAGTGGGGTAACATGTTTGAAATGACAGCACACTGCTGCTTGTTGGCAGCCTGACTCACTTGACTTGTCTCACACACACCCAGGGGGGGAGAAAGAGGACACATTGGAGCACAATGACCCAGGAAAGAGTCTTCAAAACACAGGTAAAACTGTGTTAAACAGTGGGGTAACATGTTTGAAATGACAGCACACTGCTGCTTGTTGGCAGGCTGACTCACTTGACTTGTCTCACACACACCCAGGGGGGGAGAAAGAGGACACATTGACCCAGGAAAGAGTCTTCAAAACACAGGTAAAACTGTGTTAAACAGTGGGGTAACATGTTTGAAATGACAGCACACTGCTGCTTGTTGGCAGCCTGACTCACTTCACTTGTCTCACACACACCCAGGGGGGGAGAAAGAGGACACATTGACCCAGGAAAGAGTCTTCAAAACACAGGTAAAACTGTGTTAAACAGTGGGGTAACATGTTTGAAATGACAGCACACTGCTGCTTGTTGGCAGCCTGACTCACTTCACTTGTCTCACACACACCCAGGGGGGGAGAAAGAGGACACATTGGAGCACAATGACCCAGGAAAGAGTCTTCAAAACACAGGTAAAACTGTGTTAAACAGTGGGGTAACATGTTTGAAATGACAGCACACTGCTGCTTGTTGGCAGCCTGACTCACTTGACTTGTCTCACACACACCCAGGGGGGGAGAAAGAGGACACATTGGAGCACAGAATGACCCAGGAAAGAGTCTTCAAAACACAGGTAAAACTGTGTTAAACAGTGGGGGTAACATGTTTGAAATGACAGCACACTGCTGCTTGTTGGCAGCCTGACTCACTTCACTTGTCTCACACACACCCAGGGGGGGAGAAAGAGGACACATTGACCCAGGAAAGAGTCTTCAAAACACAGGTAAAACTGTGTTAAACAGTGGGGTAACATGTTTGAAATGACAGCACACTGCTGCTTGTTGGCAGCCTGACTCACTTGACTTGTCTCACACACACCCAGGGGGGGAGAAAGAGGACACATTGGAGCACAGAATGACCCAGGAAAGAGTCTTCAAAACACAGGTAAAACTGTGTTAAACAGTGGGGTAACATGTTTGAAATGACAGCACACTGCTGCTTGTTGGCAGCCTGACTCACTTCACTTGTCTCACACACACCCAGGGGGGGAGAAAGAGGACACATTGACCCAGGAAAGAGTCTTCAAAACACAGGTAAAACGTGTGTTAAACAGTGGGGTAACATGTTTGAAATGACAGCACACTGCTGCTTGTTGGCAGGCTGACTCACTTGACTTGTCTCACACACACCCAGGGGGGGAGAAAGAGGACACATTGACCCAGGAAAGAGTCTTCAAAACACAGGTAAAACTGTGTTAAACAGTGGGGTAACATGTTTTAATGCAGTTACTATGTGTCCCCACAGGGGGGCGCGCATCACCCAACATGAGCACAGTGCATTAACAGTGATGATGATTTAAACTAGTTTAAGCGGGGAAAATAGTGCTAAAAGTCAGATAAAACTCTGCTATGACTCTGATAAAAGTCTGATTGTTTCAGAGATCCATAGTAATGATACATTAAACCATTGACATCTAAAAGTATCCATTAAAAATGCATTTGTTGGGGAAAAAGTGCAGAGAGAAGCCTGAAAATGACTCTCCAGCACCCCGGAGAGCTCCATTGTGAAATCTTGCTACTAATCCATAACTTTTGATAACAAGCTCTGTTCGGTTCAGGCTTTTGTTGTACCCCCCCATTTCCACGTAC